AAGCAGATGGATTGCTACGCCGAACGCCGCCAACACAAGGAATTCACTGACTCCTTGAAGGCGGTGTATGAAAGGAGGTTGGATCCGCTGAGGAGGCTTCTCGATGGTAGTTTAGGCGCTACCTGCACACAGACTGCAGACATAATGCAGATCTGGCAAAAGCACTTCGACGGTCTATTGAACAAGCGTTCAGAGATTGACTGGACTACATTGAATGGCCTCAAGTAGCACGAAGTGAAGGAGAGTCTGGAGGACACACCGACCGTGAATGAGACATAGAAAGCACTTGCTTAGCAGGGAAACGGCAAATGTGACGGTGCCAACGGGATCTCACCTGAAGTACTGAAACGGCTGACTCGCGTTAGTGACTGGGTTGCACCACTTGGTGCATCGCTTGTGGACTAAGGTGGAGGTGCCTCCTGAGCTCAACCATACCCATGCGCGATCATTGTACAAGAGCAAAGGGTGCAAGCAATGTTTACGAATCATCGTGGCATTAACTTGTGGGCGAGGTGATTGCCCGAATCCTGCTTAACCGCCTAGGCAGTCAAGTTGTGGGAACGAACTTGGTTGAAGAGCAATGTGGATTTCGTTCGGGTCACAGCATCATCGATATGGTGTTTGCGGCTCGTCAGTTGCAGAAGTGTAGAGAACGACACCAGAAATATACTCGTTTTTTGTTGACTTCATCAAGGCATTTGATACGGTGAACCGCGAGGCATTGTGGCTGGTGTTAGGTAAGTTTATTTGTCCGAGTAAGTTTAAAAGCTTAATTGAATGTCTGCACAGTGGTATGCGAGCGAGGGTGCAGCCGAGTGGACAGACTTTGGATGACTTTGCAGTTGCCTCTGGTGTGAAGCAAGACTGTGTCTTAGCTTCTGTTCTGTTTAATATTTATCTTCATGCCATGATGTCTTGTGCTTTTGATGCGGCTTGTGCTTACGGCGTTCGTGTGGAGCACCGTATTGATGGTGGGTTGCTGAACATCTGTCGTTACGGTGCGAGAACCCTAATCTGTGAGACAACTATCCGTATATTGCTGTTTGCTGACGACTGTGCGTTGTTTTCACACAGCGCGGATGAGTTGCAGCGCATGACTAGTGCTCTGGCTTCGACAGCGGTCGAATTCGGGCTCACCATCAACACAAGCCCATCCAACGCCCCCCATGGCTCAGTGGTTTAAGCTGCTGGCTAGTTGGAATCTGTCTCTAGCGGTCATGGGTTCGATTCTTTTTAGAGGACCGAAGGAATGCGCACCACTGACGAGCGCCAATAGGGCGAAACGTGTCTGGTGTTTTTCCGGACTAGGCTCTGCTATGTAGCTTATGGACTACAGGGATGATAACCTTAACAAAATGATAACTAAAATCCTGCTACCAGCAAAACTGTCTGTCGCTTTTAGCCTTCACCGAAGGTGCAATTTACAATGATGCCGCGAATCAGCATTGATGACGTATTGATAATCACCTCATGCTTCTGCTACCTGGGGAGTGTAATATAATAAAATAAATAAATCGTCAGCTGTACGCCGTAACGGAGCTTCGCTGCCATGCGACCACCACCAGTCGCGCATGGACTGAGTATACCGCGAGGACGCCCGCTCCTACGCGGATTCCAACCGGTGACCTTATGGTTGCAAACCGGACGCGCATACCATTCGGCCACCGGCCGACCCTTGGGAGTGTGGTGTCGACTGACTAGCAGCTCCGCGTCTCGAAGGCAGTGGCGGCATTCGGGAAGCTAGAGTACAGAGTGTTGAACAACCATCAGCCTACCGTTGGCACGATGCTAATGGTGTACAAATCCATGGTGCTGTCCGTCATTCTATACAGCAGCGAAACGTGGACGATGTATCAAGAGGATGTGCGATATCTCGAGCGGTTATATCAACAACGTCTGCGACGGACTCTACGCATTGGTTGTTGCGACAGAGTTGCGGACAGGGAAGTGTTGCGCCGCAGTGGAAGGTATGCAGTGGACTGCATACGTTTGGTTAGACATCTGAGGTGGCTCAGTCATGTGTGGCGTATGGATTCGACGGGAATACCGAAGCAGCTATTATATGGGCAGCTGAGTATTGGGAAGCGGCATGTGGGGAAACCGAAGCTTCGTTACCAGGACATAATCAAAGTGAGACACTCGCGTTTTAATCTTGATTGCAGGTCATGGGAATCGAGGGCGTGCATGGCACAATCTAATCACGAAGGCCGTTGTCGAGGTGCAAGAGAAAGCCCGCGTGCGTGGAGAGAAGAAGCGGCACTTGCGGAAGCGACAGGCGCCGATGGGTTGTACTCCATCGACATCGAGCGCATGGTGTTGTAGCACAGGCGGTCGCGAGTTCTTGAGTCAGGCAGGCCTAGTAAGCCATGAGCGAGGCTACTTGTAACAAACATCGAAACGACGACGAGTCCTGCTTAGAACGTGGGAGGAACCGGAGCAGTTTGTAGGTACGCTGCATTCGATTCACTAACCGCGTGCTTGTGTGCTGTGTCTCATTATTTCAGGTGTTGGGTTTGCTACCTTGTCTTAATGTTGTTACCGCATTTTGATGTGTACCTGAATAATGTATTAAACTGCTCATTTCGCTTAAACTATAGGTGGTTAATTTCGCTGATTTATTGTTATCCTTCTTGCATATGTGTCTTGATCCCTTTTTCTGCCGTTCTGAATATAGAACGGCTATTTTGATGATCCATTTATTTCATATGCTAATTTAACGGCATATCCGTATGGTGGATTTGATCTATATTATTCGACAATCCATTTTTTGTGATTGGCTGTTGTTTGACATCTCCGGTGTATCAGCGCTTGATGTGCATGTTGACAAGGTGCCTACCTGTCTATTACCCACTACCTCGTCCATACTGGCTCCAGGAGACAGTTGGTCGTTGCTGGAGGGGACAGGGTGCACGGTCCTTGTGGCCGTGTTAGGTTCGAAGAGTGGTTCCATGCACTCAGTGTAGAGAGGACTACGGTCCATCCACCGCCTTGTGTGCGCTTGATTCCCCAAATATAGCGTGCTTGTGTTTGCCTGTGAAGGAGTGTGGGCCGGCTCCGTTGATGAAACGTGGCTCCCATCCGCATGCCTCCCGGTCTTATTCCTTCGGGTCTACACTGGATATGGGGTGTGTGAGTGGAACTGCGGGTGGTGCAGCGCAACTTACTCATGGGCCCTCTGTAGAAACAGGCGTTCTGTCGTGTCGGTGGTGAAGCCATAGTGATAGGCAAATCCGGAACCGGATGCCGCCATGTATATATACATATATATATATATATATATATATATATATATATATATATATATATATATATATGTATGTATATCACCACAAGCAGATACAGTCAACAGATTGAAGAGTATTTCGTAGGCTAGAGAAGAACATCATGACAGACCGTGTAGTTATGATGACGTTCGAGTACATAGTGAAGGGTGGAAATGTGATCGATGCATGCTCTACTGGCGCGGAATCGAGTCTGACCTCCACCGGTTGGTTTGTATTTAACTGAAAACAGGCTGAGATCATGATAGTCCGTACGGGAAGTGCTTATACTTTGTTGTAGGTTATCATGACAATCGATAGCCACCAATCAAAAAGTATTTCCGTCTTAGAATTCTGAATGAGTGAAAACAGGGGGAAGTTATGTTTAGTCCTCAAGGGTCGCTGAGAAAGTATGATCTTAAAGCTGTAACTGCCAGTAACTATGAAAAAAGCGCGTGAGCTGTGCAGTAGTGAAGGCAAATGTGTTAGTCTAGTACAGTAGAAAATCTGGAAACAGTCGTTATGATCGGTAGTTGAAAAGAGGCGAACTCGCCTGGTGCAATGTATCGGTCAAGTACTGGGGAGGGGCAAAATCCCAATAGAAAGCTGCCCTCTCAACAACTGGGTGCATCGAGATTATCCTGTTTCAGTCAATGGTTTGGCGGCAATGTTTCAGCAAGTGGTGGGTTTTTACCTCGCAAGCGTTCACCCTATAAAAAGCCACATATGTCTGTCTGATTAACAACAATGCGACGTGGCGGATGTGACTCGCCATTAAATAAAGTCACTGCTCCTTGCATCACTCGGGTGGAGCATTGTAATCTAGCACCCTCTTGCAGAAATCGTGGGGAGGATTGGGCCTCCGTTTGGTAATCTGCCAAACGAAACGCGTATGAACTGAGCAATCAGTCAGCGGATCCCAGTGGGCGTGATTCCATGAGTTCGTCCAGTCGCCTTACAGGTAGGCTATTCAACCAAAGATTCAGAGTAGGGTGCACTAAGTCAACTTCCTATTTCGGCCTGGGCAACCGGTTAGTAGCACGCATTCCGATAAAAATACATGAACTGTCCTACAATGTGCTCACCTGCTGCTCAAAGAAGCCCACAAGAGCCTTTCCTTGTGCTAATTAGCAATCCGAACATAAAGTCACTTCGACATATGTGGATCTTCCAAAGATATCACAGGCATTCGGGAAAACACACACCTAGCACGAAAAGTCCGTTAGCAATAATAATCACGTGCAAATCACAGCTGGTCAAATGCGAATCTAGGCACCGTGCCAAGTAACCAATTTCGGAGGGGAAACCAAATCAATGAACGAATAGCATGCATAGAAAAGCAGAAGAAGGATGCTGGGAGTCGAATGGGTGTACATAAATGGCACAGAATAAAAACACCTCTGGTGGAATCCATGCTATTGATTCATTCGTTAAAATGTCCGATTCATAAAAGGGAAAAGTGATGCACAACTAAGGGGAGTGAATGTAGGCTGTAACAACAAATAGGCACTATTTAAAAAATTACTGTTAAGCAGTGAACAGTCTTGTTTAGTATGTTACCAAGCAGCACAACCATTCTACACCTTAGTACAGTATTCGTTTACTCTTGCGTCATTTGCTATGCAAGAGGATAATATGACTCCAAATCACGGCACAAGGGTTATAGAAAAGTGCATTATTGTGAAAAAGCGCGGTTGCTAGTTGGTAAGCATATCGACAGACGATGGAAGAGTGACCCACCTCCGAATTCACCCCGGCCAATTTGATCGCCAAGTACGAGATCTTTCCTAGTGATGATCCAACCACGATCGCGCAGTTGACGGAGTCTCTGCCGTTGCATATCGGGCACTGGATGCTTAAGGGAGGACACGAGGCCACTGTCCGGCACAGAGTAGTATCGTATCAAGTCTGGAAGGGAGGTAAACCAATCAACCTCATCTAAGCTGTAAGTAACAGCGGATTCTGCAGGCAATGTGGAATCGGGGTTATGAGGCTTGCACACTATGTGGTAATGCTGAACATTGGTCAGTGGGGAACGATCTGCATTCGTCCCATTTACACAGTGGAGTGTGGAGATATCTGGGTATTCAGTGGAAGGACCGACGACGCAGAGAGTGAGATCACCGGTGAACAGATCGGAATGTCGAACCAGGAAACTGCCCGGAGGATAACCGGAAAGGAGATATTCCGATTCAGCACGAGATATGCGGCCATGATACCACCTATAGAAAGAATGGTTAAATGGATTAAGCCAGATTATGTGCACTGGTATCGATAGAGTAGACCGAATTAGATAAGAAATTGAATTATATTGAAACCTTCAATGCGTTGCTGAGCACAACAGGTAAGCAAAAAAGCATCAGCAGTACGCCGGCACACAGTACCAACGCTTCGCTGGGGCGCAACCACTACCAGCCGCACGTGGGCTAAGGGTACTGCGATGGCCGCCTAGTCCTTACGCAGGATCGAACCCGCGTCCGCGGATTACAATGCAGGCTTGTGATCCTTAAGGCTATGGGCCGACCAACAGGTAAGGGACATTAAGATAATAGCGATGGGTAAATGCATGAACAGCGACCTAATGAATTTGGGGCAGAACCCAGATATACATCATCCCATGACACATATTTCGCTCAGAACGTGCTAGCAGTAGCCGACCTATTCGCGGTGCTTTGTGAGTGCAGGAAAAAAAGCACAATTTCATTTCATTTAAACGATGATCCGGAAACCGGAGTGTGTCACCAGACAACAATGATTAAGGGTAGTGAAAAAAATGAAGCAGAGCACAGATAAAACATGATGAGGTAAAGAGTAAAGATGAGTTAAATAAAGCAGGGACATCAATAGGTAGATGCAAAAAGCCGAACATGAGGGGAGCGTCCCTGAGTCTGCGCAATGTGGATTACCCCGAGATATACATCCAATACAGAAAAAACCTCGTGTTCAATCGTTCAATGTCACTTAGTCACACCGCCGGAGGGCAACCCAGCGGTGTCACCAAACTACGCACAGTGAGTCGCCGAGGAGGGTGGTCAACGGGCATACAGAGTACATGACCTAGTCAACCCGAACGGTTCCAGTTTAACAGACCCTCCAATGCGGTACCAGGTTTCATCCAGAACATCAACCGGCGGACTTCAGTATTGTCCAACCGGTGTTCCAACCAGATTTGAGCAGTACCGCGGTAAGAACTGAGAAGAAAATACGACCAATCTATGTGTCATAATGGTGCGAAGTGGCTATTTATAAAATACATACATTAACAGTGATAACATCGCAATATTGTAAACCCTACATGTTGCTGTAAGTCGATATGCTGGTAATACCGCGGGAGCAATGAGCGTGTTCGGTGTCTCGCATTCGGTGCCAGAAGAGCCAGTGAACCGCTCAACACCGTTAATTCACGAACCAGGGTACGATGGCTGGGCCACGTGTTACGCATGCCAGCACACTAACTTCCTTGACGTGCGGTTTGCGCGCAAGTGTGAAAGGAAGAAGAGAAGGGAAGACCAAGCGATAACTTGGTCACAAAGAATTAGACCCTTAATTCGAACTTGGCGTCAGCTGGTGCCTACCGAATGTCGGGCTGGGGTCCCAAAAACGAAAAACACGGTTGGTTGGATACAATTGTTGACGTGGCGAAGAGTCGACCTCAATCGCGTTTGTGTTGTGTCTTTGTCCCTCCCCATCGCTTAGCTTCCATCTCTAACCACGATACTCAGCGTTATTTGTTTTGCTTTATTTTGGGGTTTTTAATACTATAATGTTTAGTATCCCACCCTTTTTATATCTTTCGCATTGCAGCACAGTAACTGAAGTGTGATATCACCTTCAGCAAGCATGTAATTATGATGATGAGGTTGATGATGATAACACCCCGTCGTCTCCACAAATAACCGAAACTTTGAAAAGTCAACAAAGGTGGCACAACTATAGATGTGCTTGCTTGGTGAAAGCTAGAATCGGTGGTATCGACCCCGTCCTGCGACGGAGCAAATCACATACCGAAACAAGGAGCGCTACATGACATGCTATACAGTGATTCGATTTGAGGAGAGCAATGTCGTCGGAATACTTTAAGTTTAACGATTGATCACTTGCCAGAACATTCATTATAGGAGGGGTTGAAAATACGTAGGTATTCATGATCGGTTTAGTCACAGAGTTGAACAGGGGGATATGAGACTACACCGACGTGCTCCACTTATAGCGAGGAATTCAAAGGACAAAGTCCCATTGACATGACCTCAAGGGCCGTGGAACGCTTAAAAATAGAAGTTTTCTTGGTATGCGCTTCAATCGTAGGCAGAATAGCAATAAGCATGCAAGAGTGACGAAGTTGGAAGGAGCTTTCTAGCAAAGGAAAGCCACCAAAGTGAATCGCCCATATGCGCGTTGATTCTATAGAGCTGGCAAAAAATCCATGCGTGATCAGTGCACCCTTGACTATGACTGATAGTAATAAGGCCAAGTTGTGTTATCCTGGATTCTGGAGGGTATCATGTGACCAAACGCGAGCGTTTGTACTGGAAACTAGTGCTGCTGTTATAAATGTTGCGGTCAGCGCAAATAGGTCGCCATTCTCTGTTCGGCATGCATCGGCCCTGAAGGTGGGTGTTGTTTGGAGTCGATAAGTGACCCGAAAGAGAATCCATAGCACTAGTAACAATCACAATATCTGCATTCCTCATCAAACAGAGATTAGAGTTGCCGAGAAAATGGCACCACAACCTCAGATAGTGATAATTAACGCCCGTGGAGGCCCGAAATTGAAACGTGTATAAGCCGCGATTAAGTGGTACTCAGCTAGAATGGTTAGCTTAGGGATATCTGATGAAAGTAACAACAACACCATAAATACATAAAGCCGTCAACTCAGTGTCACCAAAATGCGGAGAAAAGGGTTGGTGTCGACAAATTCGGAACCGATGATGGAATATTTGTCGCAACATCATCATCATTAGACACGTTAGCTGCAGGTGGAAAACACCTCAGATATTGTGCCTCAATACGAAAAACAACAGTGGCACGCCGGCTGAGTCCTCAGTAACGAATGGACATGGTTCCGGAGAGCTAACAACTGGCTATCAAGCCGCAAAAAGAGTTGTATTATGCCTAGCGACTGAGATCATGATTGAATGGGGAGGCTAAGCAGGAGGGGGATGAATAAAGGAACTCACAATACAAACGCCATTGGGGCCGGCTCCCTGCCATATCAGCAAGTGTGTCCAACCAAACGTGTTCATCGCCCTTGGAACCCCAGCCAGGCAGTCAGGATGCACCAACCGACGCCCACTTCGAAGTGGGGGTTTTCATTTCTCTCACCATGTCATCGCTTGGCCTCTCCTCATACTCTTCCAACCGCACCCCCGGCGCGCAAACAACACACGTCGCGGGATTTGGTGCGCTCGCATGCGCAACACGTGGCCCAGCCATCGGAGCCTATCGCTTGTTATAATGGTGCTGAGCTGTTCAATCGCTCTTCCTGTACCAAATACGCGACGCCGAACAGGCTCGTTGCACACGCGGTGCTCCCACCAGACATGAGGTAAGCTGCGGAGGCAGCGATGATTGAACGTGACGAGCCTCTTTAAGTCTATCGACCTGATGGGCCAAGTTTCACAACCGTATAATAGGGTTGAACGGACGGCTGCATTATAAACTCTGCCCTACAGCGTGAGAGTTATGTCGCGCCTGCGCCACAGGTGGCTGAGATTGGCAAAAGCCCTTTAAGCTTTTGTTATACGGTTCGTAATCTCAGCTCTGATCCTACGGGCGCTAATATAGTTGCTCAGTTACCTGAAATCCCAGACTTCTAGGTGATCACCACTAAGCGTCAGCGCATGAAAGGGTCCTTGTTAATATTGAACAATAACTTTGCATTTCGATGGAGTAACACATGGCCTAAAACGATTGACAGCCAGTGCTAATTGGTCCAGTGCAGCCTGGCACGTTTGGGCGCTGTCACATATGAGAGCAATGTCGTCCGCATACTCTAAGCCAAGAAGTCGTTCACCAGGAAGTAGCTCCACACCTTCTACGTCGTGTCCAGCGAAGATTGTTTCCATGACTACCAATAGCAAAGTTAAAGGGAAAAGGTGACAGCAGGCAACCTTGTCTCATACCGCTGGAGATATGGAAGAGCGGCGACAGTTTGCCATAAACCCCCCACTCTGCCCGAACTATGCGCGTACAGCGCTTTGGTAATGTTTACATATTTATCGGGCACACATTTTCTCAGCAGACAGTCCAAAAGGTCACATTGATCGACTGATTCGAAGGCACCTTTGATGTCGAGAAACAAGACAACGGTGGGTCGCCAATAAACGTGGCGGCGCTCCAACAATTGACGCAAAGTGAAGATGTGGTTGATGCAGCCTCGATTGCAACAAAATCCGGCTTGCTCTTTGCGAACATGGCCTTCACGAAAGCCAGTCAATCTGTGGAGAACGACAGATACAAGCAATTTAGACGCAACTGAGATCAGACTGATCCCTATATGGTTGCCACATTATGAACAGGAGCCTCCCTTGAAAATTGAGATTATGACGGAGCAGCTCTAGTCTGTCGGGACAATTTCCTGCTCCAAAAGTTCTATTAGCAACTCGTGTAAATCAGCTACGAGAGCAGGCCCCCCGAATTTGTAGAGAGCTGGGGGAATTCTATCTGCACCAGCGGCCTTATGCAATTTCAACAGTCTGATTTCACGTTCGACATCTGCGCCTGAGGGCGGATCTAAGGAGACGACCCATGGAGAAGGGCACTTAATGTCCGAAAGAAAGTGATAATTCAGATTAGTTAAACTGCCTTGCAAAGTGCTCGGCTCAACGCTCCAAGCGTTTTAACAAGCTGTGGACCGGCTGTTTACTCTCGTCGCGCATGGCATCACTAAAACCATATCTTCTGCTGCCTATTTCCCGTATCAGACGGAATAAATTAGGATGATTACCAATGACAGTGGCTGTTTCCATTTCCGATGCACGATGAGCCCACCAGACTTCGCGGTCTCTCTTCAAGCTAGCACACAGTTTTGCCCTGAGATTTTTGCGAGTCTCATTGTATTCGCTTCCAGCCGGAATACCTCGGCGAGCATCCATAAGTTTCAGAGATGTTGTCGAGACCCAACGTCTAGGTTGGCAATTTGATTTTCCACATGAAGACATGCCTGCTGATAGCAACATTTGGCGACCAGTGATCTTCGACGGTGTTCAGCGGACGCTTA